GCCCCGCCGCTGCCGCCCCCTCCCCGGGCCCCGCAGCGGTCCCGGCTCCCGGTGCCGCCTCCCCGCCCCACTCACAGCGCGGGCGGCGACGGACACGGCGGCTGCGGGGCGGCCGCGGCGGAAGCGGAAGCGAGTGCGGGGCGGGGAGGCCTCGCGAGAAACAGCCCCACCCCCTGCCCAGAGCGGCCGCGCCCCGGCCACCATAGAGAGGCGCGGGGCGGGGCGGGGCGGGAGCGCGGCCGCCGGGCCCCGCTTCCGGGGGGCGTGGCCGGAGGCCGCCCCGCGCCGCCGGCTCCCCCTGCCGGCGGGGCCGCCATCATGGCGGAGCTCGGCGCCCACCTCACGGCGGCGCCGGCCGCGCGCGACAGGCCCTCCATCTTCGAGGCGGTGGCCCAGGACAGCCTCATGGGCGCCGTGAAGCCCGCGCTGCAGCACCTGGCCAAGGTGAGGCCCGGGCGCGGCGGGGGGGCTCGGCCGGGCCCGCCGCCCCCCGGCCCCTCTCGCACAAAATGGCGGCTCGCCGCGACATGGCAGGCGCGAGCCCCCGTGTCCTCCCCGCACAGAGCGAGGCCCCTTGGATCCCCTGGAGCTCCTCAGGAACGGCGGCTGCCTTCGTTTGGGCTGGCGAGGGCTAATGACCCTCCTTACAACCCCCTGCTGTGTCCTGGGAGCGTTGCCTGCGGCTGGGAAGGGGTAAAGCGGCTCTTCGACACGGACCCTTCGCTGTGAGACAAACCTGAGGGTGCAGGCCGAGCTGAGTGCCCATATCTCTTGATTCAGCCCTGCCAGAGCCCGTGGAAGGCAGGGCTGCCCTGTGCACTCGCAGGGCTGAGCTGTGTGCACGGGCGGGCAGGGAGGTGCGTGTTTGGCGAGGACAGGCCATGTAGGCAGCGAAAACTGCACAGTCGGTGTCCTGAGGGGAAACGGTTATGTGGAGATGTTGGCCACCGCTCTCTCGGGGGAGTTTTTCATCTCCAGGACTCGCATCTGGCCTGGCATAAACTTGCAGTTTTGTCCCACTTGGCTCACTTTTGGAATCTATAGGTTATAGTTACTGTAGTTTACTACATGTCTCCACCATGAGTGCTTTCTGTCTCTTTCAATAGGTGCTGGCTGAGTCTGATCCTGCCCGATATGGCTTCCTCTGGCGTTGGTTTGACGAGGCCTATGTCCTCCTAGATCTGCTGCTGCAGCAGCAATATCTGTCCAGGTGCAGTGCCTCTTTTTCTGAAAACTTCTATGGCTTAAAGAGGGTCGCAATAGGAGACTCCAAGCAGCAATCGCTGGCCAGCGCTGGCCTGCCAAAGAAGCAGCACTGGAAGTCTCTCCTTCTGCTTGTTCTTGTTCCCTACCTGAAAGGAAAGCTAGAGAAACTGGTGTCCAGTCTGCGGGAAGAGGATGAGTACTCCATCCACCCTCCCTCCTCGTCCTGGAAGCGCTTTTACAGAGCCTTTCTGGCTGCCTATCCGTTCGTAAACATGGCCTGGGAGGGCTGGTTTCTTGTCCAGCAGCTCTGCTATATCCTCGGGGAAGCCCAGCACCATTCGCCCATGCTGCGGCTGGCTGGTGTCCGCCTGGTGAGACTGACTGCGGATGATATCCAGGCCCTGGAGAAGAAATTTGCAGTAGCCGCCCCGAATCAGCCACACAGGTACAGCAGAACAGGGCTTAGCAGCTTCTTGCCATGGGGTGGGCCGAGGCAGAGGTCATGCTCAGGGTAAAACTGTCTTATTCTCCAGAAATCCTTCAAGATAAAGTTTATCCTTAGCAAAACCCACCTCCAAAAGGGAATGTCGTGATAATAAGTGTAAATAAAGAACCAAGTATTAGGGATTAGCATCACAGAAGTTTGTGTAGTAAAATCAAAATGCTTTTTTGGCACTCCAGCCTCCATCCCATTCAATCTTCAGCTGCACTTTCACAGGAAGTAAATTGTACCCATTTTGCTAAAAGGACCAAAACTTAGTTTTCAGAGAGCTTAGAGAGCTTTCAGCTTAGAGAGCTGAAACAATTGGTTTTCCTGATCAACAGCTAGGCATGAATGCATTTAATGTCCTGCAAAATGATGGTCCATGAGTGAAATGATCTGAGATGCAGGTCATCTCAAACCAAACTTTTCTGATTTAGGCTTTTGAAAAACAAGCAGGACCTGAAATTTTCCCACTGATCATGTGTTCTGCTCAAATCACAAAGAAACATCCCACCATTTACCCTATTACATACTTGAGACTTGCTAACAGTTATTTATCATTATGGGGCTGTATAGAACAGTGGCATACCCCTTATCTTTTTTGCCTTGGTTTGCAGAGGGACAAACGAGCAGTACTGCTAATCTCTCTGTACCTTCTCTCCCTGCTACAGCATTAAGACACAAGTCCAGTCGGCACTGAAGAAGGCACTGGGTGGCATTGCTTTCTCCTTGTCCACCGGCCTGTCTGTCAGCGTGTTCTTCCTTCAGTTCCTGGACTGGTGGTACTCCTCGGAAAACCAGGAGACCATCAAATCTCTGACAGCGCTCCCCACTCCACCACCACCAGTGCACCTTGACCATGGGGCGGACTCAGCTCTGCTACCTAAACTGAAGACCATGTGCCCGCTGTGCCACAAAATTCGAGCCAATGCCACGGTCCTGTCCACGTCAGGCTACGTGTTTTGCTACCGCTGTGTGTATAATTACGTGAAGACTCACCAGCGGTGCCCAGTGACGGGCTATGCCACCGAGCTGCAGCACCTCGTCAAACTGTACTCCCCTGAGAGCTGAAAGGCCAGCTCTGTGCCACCAGAGACGTGTCTCTGGGACTGCGTGGCAGGGCCACTGTGGAGCAGCGAGCCTCAGTTTGTGCTTTATGATGTCCTAGGGAAGGCTATCAACCATTACAACTTGGAAGAGATCTCCAGAGCTGCCCTGAACTTCGCTGTCTTGGTAAACTGGACACATTTTGCTGTCTTTGTAAATTTTGGTGAGACTCTCCCCTCATTTTTTTTCAAACATCCCATAACAAAGCTCCAGAGGGGCAGGACAGTCATAGGCTGTCAGTCAGCAAAGAAATGCCTTCAAAGGCCCAGAGAATGGGAGGAAACATTATGTGGATAGTAAGAATGCAGGTGTGAGGACCAAAGAGCACTGCTGGCAAAAGTCCTGCTTGGGATCACGGTCAGCAAATTGGAGATGTGCAAATAAGGTCCAGGCAACTTACTCCACCCTCAGCAGCCTCATGGACTGCAGGGCTGCTGGGGCAAGCACTGACACCAGTGATTTCTGAAGAGATAGAGGTGGGTTCAGGCCTCTTTTCTGATCATGGTGTTCCTAAGAGTCTCCATGTATTTTCAGGCTACTCACCTGTGAATTAATGAGAACATTACACCCCTAGTTCCCATGAATAGTTCTAAATTAAAGAGTTTTGCCTCTTGAAAGGAACAAGGGGTGATGTGTGCAAACACTGACACAAGACCACGAGGGAGAAAGACAAGCCAAATTAAAGCAGTAATTGTGCCAGTTGAGGAGAACATTATCTGCTTTTATAAAGCATTTTTTCTTGATTTAGAACCCATCTGCATTTCCTTTTTTTTTTTTTTTTTTTTTTTTTTTTTTTGGAAAATGAAGTTTTTTTTTTTGGGTTCTTTATTTGCACAATGGAGACTAGATTAATGCTGCTTTTATTTTTGCAGATGATCTTGGATATAAGATTAGTATTTTGCAGGCTGAAAATTTCTAATGTTTGTGTTTGAATTTAGTATTACATTGTAATTATTTCAATCCCAATCTAAACTAATCACGTAGCACGTTCTTATTTCAATGAAGCACAGGAAAGAGCAGGAAAGGTGCCTGATGTTATGGGTGCTTCAGACTGCTCTGATCAGACAAGATTTTTCTTGATGGAAGGTGGATTTTCTTGACTCAGCTCTAGAGAGCAGCAGTTAGCTACTCCAGACATCATGGTGACGCGAATATAAAGCAGTCTGCTGCACAGAATATCTGGTCTTTTCAGATTAATAGATATGCTCTTAGCACTTAATTTATAAACCATTGATCTCATTTTACCCCCATTTTAGCGCTGCTTCAGAAGATAGAAATCAATAAAATCCTCCCTCATCCTTGAGCAAGATAACAAGTGTTTTGAATGAGCTGGAAAAATACAGTAATTTGCATCCTCCCAAAGCTGCTCTGAAACAAATCAAAACCAAAAACCTTTGTGAAAATGAGATGGGCTGTCCAGTGCTTGTCTTACTGTTTCTGTACAGCTGCCAGACCCTTTTGCCTTTGAAGCTATGGGATAATAACAAATACTTTCCTATTTTTATTCCCTCCAGTAGTTCTGGGATTGATTAAAAATATCTTTTCCATTAAAAACCTGTTAAGAAAATATGCATCTTGTTGGGAAGGAAATCACATCCAATGCAAGACTTTCTGAGATTTAAAATGGCTTTTAATATAGCCGGTTTAGGGCTTGCTATTAACTCACACAACTTGCTACATCACTTTTACTTCATACACTGAGATTATCATCTCTAATGAAAAACCTATATCTAAGATACTGCACTGTTGCTACATGGTCTTAAAATAACCCATCAGATGTACAGATGAGGCACTGATACACTGCCCTGATGACTCTGTAGCAACTGCTCATTTAATGAGACCTATGGGATTTGACTGACTGTTCTGTTTTAGGATAATTCTGTTTTCCTTTGGTCCTTCCTATACTTTCCAAATTCTCTCTTGTTCAGTGAGAAGCTGGACAAGCAGATGATTGACCTCAGAGCCCCTGGACAGCAGAGTGTCTGCTGCAGACTTACCTGCCAGCAAGGTGGATCTCTTGGGCAGGATCCTCAGCCTCCTCCCCTCTAGTCCAGGGATTAACTAGCGGACAGCACAGCCTGTGCTTGTGCTGCCCTGGGGCATGTACACCTCATTCTCTCATCGTTAATAATAATTCCCCTCCCCAGAGCAGCTACTGGATGTCCTTCTGTTGGGCCCTGGCTGCCTTCCGCTCCATATCCCTTCTCCACTGTACTGTGCAATGCTGAGTTCCTGCCAAGCTGAGATTTGGCCAACTCTGGGACTTGCTGAGAACCACTCACATTCAAGCCTCACAGTTCAGGACAGCTCTAATTATTCTTTGGAATGTTAAACTGCTCTTTAAAACCTACCTGACTGACAGGCATTAAGTCCCTAGTGGTGACAGGCTTGGCAGTTACCTGGCAGATTCTGAAGTGTCTTGCAGGTGACTGCAGAATTCCACTTTGGATGCAACTGCTTTTGCCAACTGTCCTGAGTAGCCAAATACCCATCTGTTACATTAAGTAAGCTAACCTAAACAACACTACAAAACCGTATTACACAAACAGTCCCTTAATCTGCTTTGTAAACTGTAATAGTAGTGTGAGAGCTGTGATGGTATCAACACATGCAGGGAAAGACTTGACAAGGAAAAAAATATTATACCAACTTTATTATACCAGTTTTCAGATTTACATGCTAATTGCAAGTGCTGTGCACTTATATATACACTACAGAAGCCTTGTTCTGTCACTTAATATAATCATTTCATCAATGGTGGCACTGGAATTACCCAATATATTACTGTTACACTTGAATTTTCTAGCCTTAAAAAAAAAAACGTTTAATGAAGGCACATGTACAACTACGACTGCATTAGCAACTGAGCCACTTTCCCTGCTCCCTTAGCAGAAACGTTGGGAATTCCTCTTGCTAGGCGGTAACTTCCATATCTCTTCTCCTAGGTTTGATAAGAACAGTCCCCCCACACACAACAGGCCTCCTTTCCAGGCAAGTGAGAAACGAATGTGAAGCTGTCACTGAGACCTAGAAGAAAATGAAAACATGAGCAGAAAATACCTCCGTATCTTGCGTATTAGCCGAGCCCTTTTGGCTGGTGAAAGGGCTGCACATTACCCCTGCACAGCCCATGTGTTTCTACCACTCCAAACCCTCACTAATTGCGAGCTATCAAGGCAAACATTCTGGCGATACAGATGGGTTTTTGAAGAAAAATAATATATTTTTTTTCCCCCAATACCTGAAATTTCAGAGTTCTCTGCCCTACCAGAAGGGAAGCAGCCGCAATACCCCCTGCCAATCCCTCCCATCTTGTCTGACCTCCAGCCAGAGCTAGAGCAGAGCACCAGCGCCAGGCCTAGCAGCACATCTAAAAATACTCGTCCCTGTGCTTGCAGTCATCACGGGATGATTATGCAGCTGAACTACCTGGTAATGAACTCTTTTCTCTCTTCTCACTTTTCAAATCAAGCCTTAATTTTTTCCCCCGCTACTAGAAAATTGCTTTAAAAAAGTCGTATTTTGCACTACTTTTAAGAGCTGCATCAAGCCCTTTTCAGAGCTTTCAAGGTTTCATTTCATCCAAGTCTTAGATGAATGTGGCTTAAAAAAGCTCAGAGAGAAGATTACGTGATCATGCCCTGGTCAGAGCAAAGACGCGGGGTCTCAGCAATACCAGTTCAGACAACGCTTCGCTCATCACTGCTTTGGGCAGATCTCATAAGGACACTGCCCTCAAGTCAGGGCCCTGGCAAATATTCTCAGGGGGAGCAGAACAACACATGGTTGGTTCTGGGTGGATCCTTTTCAGCTTCTACAGCGCGGACGCCTCCCTCCCCGCACTGCTCCCAGCAGCCCGGCGCCCCCTCAGCCCTGCACCCAGCGCCCCCAGCACCCCGACCCCGCAGTGCTGCCCCCGCCGAACCCCCACCCCTCTGCCCCCCACACCTCTGCTCCCCCCTCAGCGCCCCGCAGCGCTCCCGCGCTCGCACCGACCCGGCCGCGCAGGGGCGGAGCTTCCTTCTTATCCCGCCCCTCGCTGCCGTCAACAGCCAATGGCGAGACGTTCTGCTGCCGACGGACAGCGGCACGAGGGCTAGGGGAGGCCAGTAGGAAGGCGCGCGGGAGCATTTCCCGCCCCGGCGTTACGCTGAGGCGGAGAGGAGGCGGGGCCGCCGCCATTTTCCCTTCTCATTCCCCATTAGGACCTGAGTACCTGTAAGAGCACAGGCAGGAGAACGGCCCAATGTATGGTATCAATAAGGGCGTGTAAGCCTAATGTGAAAGTAGAACAGCAGAGATTCCTCACAGAACAAAAGTAGTGGATTTATTAAGAGTTCATCCACTATCCTCACACATAGCTACTCCACTTAAAACCCATTTAAAAAAATCCCATAAATGAAACAAAAGCACACAACTACACATCCCCAATCATTTTCTGAGCCGCATAGGATGCAAACCCTCTTCTGTCCCACCCTCACTACAAACCACAGAAGTACCAGGCAGATGGTGACAGAGCACAGCCCAGTTGAGAGCAGATCATCTCTTAGTACCTTCCCTTCCTCCCCAACTCAGCTTTTTTTGGTGCATTTCTTTATGACTGAGAGAGAGGTTTGATTAGTCCATAATCCATGCACTTTGCCAGGCAATCGCGTGCCACATTAATGATGTGCTGCTTCTTGGGATCATCTGCTTGTTTGCCAATGAAGGTCAGGATCTCTAGGAGCTCTGTCTCCACCAGCTTCTTTGCCAGTTCTTTGTCAGCACTTATTAAATTGAAAGCTATGACCAGTCCCCGGTGCTGCACTTCCATGTTATCATGCAGGCAGAGCCTCTGCAGGATTTCAAGCCACTGTGTTGTCTGCAAGGAAGGGAGAGCGCATTAGTATCAATCTTAAAAAAAAAACAAAACACCACACCCCACAAATCAGGAATGCAAATTTGGCAAGGCATTTCCCAGCAAAAAAGGAAGCATATGCACTCACTTCTTAATGCTCTTGTGTCAGGATTAGTTATGATTCCTCAAGTAAACTGGACTCCACATTTTTCAGCCCAATTATTGTCTACTTAAGTCAAATTTTCATCACTCTTTCACCATAGAAACAGAACAGCCTTTTACTTGATCATTTCTAATAAACCCCAGTATCCAAGTGTGGCATGTTCAACGCAGCAGGGCTCATGAGTTCCCACGCACAAGTCTTCAAAGATATTAAGTTATTGCAGGGTCTGTGCTGGGTTCCTGGGACTCACAAGTCAAAATGTTCTAGGATCTGTAAAGCTCAGTAGGTATCTGTCAAGCTCACTTCATTTCCAAGTGAAGCAAGGTTTTATTGAAGCTATGAAATACCAGAAGACTTAAGGGGCTGTGGAATATTCTGCATTCTTAACTATTTTTCTTTTACAGTTAACAGACAGACTTATTTTTACAAGCAACTATATAAAAATGTAACAGCTCTGAGCTGTGGTCTTAGAGACCGGTGTAAGAAAGTTGCTGGGCTTTGTGCAGGGATGGACTAGCAGCATGCACACACAGGTCTTGCTTGAAGAGGGCAAGTTCTTCACTAGTAAATT